TTCCCATGTCATTCCCTCACTTCACTTCAGGGTCTTCCTACCCACTACCTCAGTGGGTGTGAAAGTCACCTTTGATTCACAGTTGACAAGTGAGGGGATAGGAGGGTAAGGAAGTTGTCTTAGAGGTTATCACAGCAAAGCCAGATGGCAGAAGAGCAGACATCTCTGACAGGGGCCAGGGTCACTCCCACTTTGTGGTTAGCTGTGACAATGTTCGTGCTGATACAGTCAGATTTCCACCCATAAGAATGCTGAGCAGTTAACTGGCACAGGCTCTGGATGTAGGCAATTTAAATTCTCTACCCTACTGGAGAATGAGAGACCATGAGAAAAAATAACAGGAGATCAGATTGATGAGGATATCTGTAGTATCTCAAACCAAACAGGATCTAATATCTAGAGTACCCAGGGAAGGAAAATAAAGAAGTAAACAAGACAGGATTAAAGGGGAGTGGGGCAAATCACCAAACAGGCAATTCAAAAAAAGGAAGCTCACAAAACTAATAAACATATGAGGATATATTCAATCTCAATTGTAATGACAAATGAAATGAAAACAATAAGAATGTATCCCTTTATGGGCCTGGGGGTGTAGCTCAGTGGTAGAGCACTTGTCTGGCACATGTGAGGCACCGGATATCCCTTAATACCTGCTAGAATAGCAAAAATAGAAAGCAGCTAATCCTGAGAACCCATAGAGGACCCAGTGGGTGCCCCATTGCTGAGTTCTCCAGTGGAGGCATTAATTGAGGCAGCTGTTCTAGAGTCATCCGCTGCAACTTAGTCAAAAGATTAGCCTACTTCCAGGCTAATAATGTCCAAAAGAGACATTATCACATTGGCCTTCAAGGGAACACTAAGAGCATGTGCATTGCAGCACTGGTTGTTATGTTGGGGATTCAAAGATAACCTCAGCGTTCATCACAGAGAGAATAAATAAGAAAATTGTGATGAATGTACACTATAGAATGTTTAAGTTGGAAACAATAAACCAGATGCGTGGACATTGGTCAATTTTAAAAGATACAACCATTGGTAAAAATAGCAAAAACAGAATGATAACACAGCATAATACCTTTATACAAATTAATAAGGCATGCAAAATAGTGGAGATGGTTGTGCAACTGTATGTATTCAAAACCATTGAATTTTACATTTTATTTTAATTTAATTTTACTTTTACTTTATTATTGTTGTTATTATTTTGCAGTACAGGGGATTGAACCCAGAGGTGCACCACCACACCCAACTGAATTACACATTTTTTAAAGGGAGAGTTATTTATTATGTGAATTATAGCTTACTTTAAAAAAAATACATGCACATGAAACAATGGTAAATGATTTCATACTTAATATCTCACACACCTGAGAATGATTGCTTACCTGTGGTGGTTAGTCAAAAGAGAATAAAATTAGGAGCAAAAATAAATAAAAGAACCAAACTTTTTGCAGGACAAAATGATTAAAAACATGAATTGTTGGTCAGTAGGGTCTTACATCTGGAAAATAAAAATTACAGGAGGTCATCTTTTTGGACTAAGTGCATGTACCCAACGGACCAGACTAAAAATCACAATGGAGTCACTCATGCTAAAGTTCCAAGTCAACAAATTGAAACTTAAGCTGTTTATCTGTCCTTCCCAGAAACCAGGATTAGAGAGATAATAGTCAAATTTCACAAACAGGCCAGTTCAATTGGCATAAAATGAAGTTCTCTCTTCCTTAATCCTTACACATAAAAAAAGTAGCCTGGTATTAACCAATCAGCTGTTTTTCTATTATTGTCTCTTTTTCATGACCTTATGAGGAAAGTAACTTTGAAAAGACCAATCACCTCTTTGCTTTTTGTTTCTGCTTTCTTCAGCTGTCTGTCTAAAACCAACCTCCTCTGCTCGGGTCACTGGAATATTTCAATTTTATGGAATTAAGTATCATCCAATTCTAGAATAAAAACAAAGCCAACTAAGAGCATTAAACTCAACTGATATAACTGTGTCCTTTGACAGATCCACAGCTCCCAGAAACCACTCCTAACTGAGGTCCTTGTCTTGTCCACTTGCCTGGTTCTTCCAGGAAAAATAGTTCCATTTTCAGTATGCTCATCAGTTTCTGCTTCTTTCCCTTCCTCTTCCAGATTTAAAGGCTTGGCCTCACACCCTGACATCCCTACACAAAGAGAGAGTCCTATTATCTTCTTTTTAAAAATATTTATTTTAGTTGTAGGTGGACACCGTACCTTTATTTTATTTTTATGTGGTGCTGAGGATCGAACCCAGTGCCTTCGACCACATGTGAGGCGAACATTCCACCACTGAGCTACAGCCCCAGACCTATCTTCTTTTCTTTTATAACAGCTTTTGAGTCTAGGAAAAGCCCTGATTGTTGAGAAAAATTAAGCAGTTTGCCTCTTTCTCATGGATAAGAGGCTCAGTAGGTACTACAATGCTCTGATCTCCACCACCTGGAAGGAAAGGCAAATCTCTCCCCAACAGATTAAAACAAATTCCTTTGTTGTTGTTGCTGGGTATCAACCCAGGGGTAGTATATAGTGGTAGGCAAGTGCTCTACCATGGAGCTACACCCACAGCTCCAAGATAACTTACTTTTTTGTTTTAAATATTTATTTTGTTGTTCTCAATGGACATGATACCTTTATTTTATTAGTTTATTTCTGTGGTGCCGGGGATGGAACCCAGTGCCTCATGCATGCTAGAGCTCTACATGCTAGAGCTACAGCCCCAGCCCCAAGATAAATCACTTTTAATGGAACAAAGATAAACTGAGTTTGGTTTTGTATCCAAACTTCATACCTTACTTTACACAGGTAATAAAAATCCACTTAAACTACCTTAAACAAAGACAGGGAGAATACTGCAGAATACAAGACTATCTCTTGGAACTCAAAGTTCAGAACCATAGTCAGATTTCAAGAAAAGAACAAAACAGGAACTGGAAAGATGCCAGAACCAATAATGAAGATGGTCTTCCTCCCCTCCATATCATCACTATACCTCAGTTTCAAATTAGGAGAAGGAAAAAACTGATTGGTTCGACTAGGGTCAGGTATCTCTAGGTCCAAGTAGCTATTAGGGAATTGGGGTTGGGTACAGTGTGGGAATTGAAGGCAAAGTTTCCTACTAGAAAAATTCACCCTGTGAACAGAGAGAACAATTCTCAGAGAAGGGTGGTAAGCTGGCAAGGCATTCCAGAAGGAATTTACTAAGTTTAAAAAAAAATTTCATATATTTATCAGCAATTAAAACTTCACTTAATTTCAAAAAGCCAAAAATATATAAGCCATATTCTGTTGTCACAATACAATAATATCAGAAATAAAGAAATAAAAGTTTAAGAAAGGTTGAACTTGAAAACACTTCAATTAGGGAATCAGGCCAAAACAGAATTCAAGAAAATTCACAACATAAGATGATTTTATTAAAGATCAGGAAAAGGTTAAATAAATCAAGTATTCTTCTCAAGAAATTAGAAAAGAAACATAAAAAATTCAAATCTAAAGACAGAAGGAAGAAATTGAGAAAGCTAACAGTAAAAGTAATAGAATTAAATAAATACAAAGTTAATTGTATTAGATGAAGGGGAATGAAGAGAAGGGAAGGAAGATGGGTATAGGAAAGACAGTAGAATGAATTGGACATAAATTTCCTATGTTCATATATGACTACATGGCCCATGTAACTCCACATCATGTACAACCACAAGAATGGGAAGTTAATTTGAATTTATATATTTGAATTATATGTTTCTCTACAAACATCCAACAACAACAAAAAAGTCAGACCTCTAGCAAGTGTACTTAAGAAAAAATATAGAATATTAATTATTAGAAAGGAGACTCAGAAGAGAGTTAATAGGTATAAAAGAATGCCTTCTACAAATTACTATAAATTTGTTTGAAAAGCTAGACTTTTTATAGTGATTTTATAGAAACATCAATATAATGCAAAAAGGAGAGCTAAACAGAACAATAATCTTGGAAGAATTGAAATTGTCATAAAAAAACAAAGATTGTGAAATAGCCACTCATGCTATACATCTCAGTCTTTCTAAATGTTGGAGTAGACAATGCTAATGTTATTTAAAATCATAGAGAACACAGAAAGGGATTAATGATCTTCTATTCATTTTACTAAGCAAATATAGCTGTCACATCAAAACTTCACAAAAGTATAAAAAGCCAGTGTAACCTTTTCATGTCTCAAGCTAATAATCCCCTTTCAGATGTGTGTGGAGAAGGAGTTAGTTAATTGCTAACATCACCCATTAATTATGGAATGGAAGGAGATAAACCTGGCCCAAGCCACATCTGACCAAGGCACAGTCATCATTGGACATTGTAGACTCCACCACCATAGCCAGAATAGATTTGGGCTTCTCCCCTTTCAAAGAAGAGGAGAATGTAGTTGTGGTTGGAGTTCAATATTTCATAAGCTTTTGAGATAAATATGTATTTATGTATAAAACAAAAATTCAAATCTTAAAATAATATTTAACTTTATAGATAAGATATTCTGATGCTTTCTGTTATTCGTTTTTGAAACTGTTAAACACAATACACTAAATTGATATTATTATCTATTCATAGGTTAAAATTCACCATTGGAAGCAGGCAGAAGTGGGAGAACATAAGGAGGTGCCATCCATGGGTAAATGGGCAGCCATGTGAGCATGCAAGAGTGTGTGTGCAGACATCACCTCTGAAGGTTGTCATCACACAGATGGATTCTAAGTACCTGCTGAGCTCACAGGCCCCTTCTCCTCTAGTGCCTTTTCCCACTCACAGCAGTGGGACACTTCTGTTGGTCACATGGGGTTGGAACTGAAGCAGAAAGGATTATGGGTTTTGAGAAATAACTCTTCAATCTCATAACAAGGACTTCTTTACTGCTTACACTGACTTGAGATGGTTTCAAAACTTGCAACCAAAAGAGCTTTCATTGTATAAGCATAGAGAAAAAGCTTTTGAAGTTTGACTTGTACCTTTCAAATTAATTAGATTGCATAGAGAGTGGGACGTCCGGCTTCTGATCGGGATCCTTCTTTGCTTCTTTGCGCTAGCCACGAAAGAACAAATTAAAAATGGGTGATGTTGAGAAAGGCAAGAAGATTTTTGTTCAGAAGTGTACCCAATGCCACACGGTGGAAAAGGGAGGCAAGCACAAGACTGGGCCAAATCTCCATGGTCTGTTTGGGTGGAAGACAGGTCAGGCTGCTGGATTCTCTTACACAGATGCCAACAAGAACAAAGGCATCACCTGGGGAGAGGATACACTGATGGAGTATTTGGAGAATCCCAAAAAGTACATCCCTGGAACAAAAATGATCTTCGCTGGCATTAAGAAGAAGGGAGAAAGGGCAGACCTAATAGCTTACCTCAAAAAAGCCACTAATGAGTAATAGCTACTGCCTTATTTATTACCAAACAGAAATGTCTCTTGGCTTTTTTATGTGCACCATAATTTAATTGATGTGATACACCAGAAATCAGATCATGAATGACTAACAAAATTATTTTTGTTGGACAATCCTGATTTAAGTAAAACTTACTTGTAGCTAAATTAATATTTTGGTTATATTCCCACTTCAGTAAATTCTATCACTGTTTCCCCTTTTTAAAGTTGTGGTTGGACTTAATTAGTAATGTTCAGTATTTGACAAAAATGGTGAGTGACATCTGAAAACTGGTTTTATATTTAGTTTTATAGAACTGATTATGTGAATATGTTTAAAATATGGGGGAAATCCCTTCACTCTCTCAGAACCAAGCGTGATTCACATTTGTTTCAATTTGTGTTCATTAGCCTATTAAAGGTTGAAGATAAGGAAGCAGTATCTACTTTATATTTTTGTTGACCATGCCAATTTAATTAGAATTCCCTGTATCTAAAATGCTGTTCTTTCCTAATGGAAAGGCATTTTTAGTGTGGTTTATGTATGATATTAAATAAAGAATATTTAACACTTCTCAAATTTAAAGTTGATCTATAAATTCAGATGCTTTTTAAGTCAGCATAATACAGTAACAAGTTAGACCTTACTTTTTAATTCTTTATTTTCTAAGACTAAGTTATCATTCAGGATTGTTTTTAAACAACTATTCAGAAACAATACCATGGAACATCTAGGTGATTGGTAGTGGTGCTTTTTGCCAACTTATTAGATGGAAAGATTAAGGTAAAAGAGATATACCCATCAATACAAATTTGTAAAATACGTAACCATAAGATTTAAGATAATTAAAAACAATCACAGATCATGAAAAAAAATTAATTAGATTGCCTTATTAAATATATTATCTTCCACTTCCTAGAGTTTGCAAACCATGGCTCATGAGCAAAATCTAACTTTTGGTTGTTTTTTCATGCCAACAAACCAGAATAATTTTTATGTGTTTAAAGGGTTGTAAAGAAAACAAAAACAAGCCAGGCATGGGGTGCATCCCTGTAATCCCAGAGACTCAGGAGGCTGAGGCAGGAGGATCATGAGTTTGAAACCAGCCTCAGCAACTTAGGGAGGCCCTAAGCAATTTAGAGAGACCCTGTCTGAAAACAAAAATAAAAAGGACTGGGGGTGTAGCTCAGTTAAGAATCCTTGGGTTCAGTCCCCAGAACTGAACAAAAATAAAAGAAAAACAAACAAAGAACAACAAAAAGAAGATTGTGGCAGAAACTGTGAAGCCTACAATATCTAAAATACTGACTGACTGAACCCTTTTAGAGAAAGTTGATGGTCCCTACTTCCTATGTTTAACCTGTTGGTCTATTTCTCTGTCAAATATTCAGAGTTATGTTAAGTACTCATGCTTCTATTAATTTTCTGTCAATTTTTGCTTTGATGCTCACATTTTGATACTCTCTTACTCAACACATAAAAGTTTATGATGAGTCCATCTTACAGGTGCCATTGAAATGCTTTGTGTTTATTTTGTCTAATGATGTTGTGTAATTCTTGCTGTATTTTTGTTTGTATTAACCTATGTTTACCCATCCTTTAGACAATACATTTGATTTTTTTAACTCAATCTGAAATTTTTGACTTATAAGAAAGAATATAATGGAGAGAGTAAAGTATATGCATTTATTGCTATACTTGGTTTATTGGGGGCTATTTCTATCACCCTAGTTCTTGCTTTATTTTAAAGTTAAAGTTAAAAGTGAAATGAGCTAGGCATACCTGTAATCTCAGCAATTTGGAAAGCTGAGGTGGGAGGATTACAATTCCAAACCCAGTCTCAGCAATTTAGTGAGGCTCTAAGCAACTTACACTGACCCTATCTCAAAATAAAACATTTTAAAAAAAGGCTGGGGAATGTGGCTAAGTGGTCAAGCATCCCTAGGTTCAATCCCTAGTACCCAAAAAAAGGTGAAATGGTGTATTAGCTAAGGTGCTTTTATCTGCCAGTAATTCCCTGCCCTTTCTTAAAGAATATGGAAGCAAATAAATACATTCAAAGTTGCTCCATATCTTATGTCTTCAGGGAAATGAAAATTAAAACAATAAGATAGCAATACATACCTATCAGAATGGCCAAAATTTAGAATACTGACAACACCAGATATTGACAAGGATATAGAATAATAGGAACTCTCTTATTCATTGCTGCTGAGAATGCAAAAGTATACAGCCACTTTGGAAAAAAATTTGAAGTTTCTTACAAATCCAAAAACTCTACTATATAATCCAACAATTGCACTCCTTGTCATTTACCCCCAAAAGTTTATACACACACTCATACACACAATTTTTTTCATCTTCTTCTCAATTTTGCTCTGACTCTAAAACTGTGTACAAAAAAATATGTTTTTTAGGGCTGAAGATGTAACTCAGTGGTAGAGCACTTGCCTAGCATGTACAAGGCCCTGGATTCAATCGCCAGTACCATTAAATAAATAAATAAATGTTTAAAAGTCAAACAGTGCTATTATAAAAATAAATATCCCTCCTTGTTGCTGACTCCTAATCTTCCTAGAAATAATACATTCAAGTCTTTTAGTTATTTCTTTGTGTATTTCTATTTCCCACATAGCTAAATACTTTACAAAATATTGAAATTCTTGAGTCTTCCTATTTAAATACTATTCATTAAGTTTTTACAACTTTCACATAGAGAAGATATAAAGAGAACTAGTGAATGAGATAGAAAAGTTCAGACAAGTAGGAGGATAGTTGGAAAAAAAAATGGGAGTTTCAAGAAGAGGGAGTAGTCAGTGGTATCAAATGCTCCACAGCTGACACAGAGGTGAGGACTGGGTAGAGTCCACTCTCTTTCACTACTGGATGTTGACTTCTACTTCAGCAGGGGTAGGGGTAAGGAAACCAAGAGACCTGTTTGACAGTGACTAAGGTAACTCATTCTGGTTGTTTGGACAATGAGCCAACTGGGATAGGAAGAGGGAAGAGTATAGGTGAGAATTAAGAGCTATCATCTCTGGAACCAAGAGAATTGTAGCTTGAAACTTGTAGCTTCCTCTCCCCAGACAGGGTATCTGGAGCTCCCAGATAATTCCTTAATGTGAGGTAATGAAATCCTCCAAACAAGTATGTGTTAATCAGCTTTTTTGTCACTCTAACAAATACCTGAAATAATAAATTTATAATGAAAAATGTTTCATTTTGGCTCACAGTTTTGCTGGTTCTAATCTATGATCAGTTGGCCCTGTGGCTTCTGGGCCTGTGACAAGGAAGTGCATGGTGGAGCAAAGCTGCTCACCTTAAGGCCAAGAAGTGAAGGGGAGAGAGAAGAAGGGGCCACAGTTCCCCAACTACTGGAAGACCTCCCACTAGGTTCCATCACTAACCACCCTAAGGATTAAGTCTTTCAACACATGTATCTTCAGGGGAACACATTGCCCAAACCATAGCTGTTACCCTCAAAGGGAGACCCAGGGAGAGAGGATCCCTTACTTAAGACAAAGATCCTTGTATTACATGATGGAAAGATAAAGAAAATGTATGCACAATCTTTTCTAAATTACTCATGAATTATGCAAGTTCCCCCCAATGAAGTTCATTTTTCAATTTCCTGACATATGATATAAAATGTCCTTCTGAGCTCTTGTACATAAACAGAGGAGGACTAGAATGGACTATAACAACATTTTAGGACTTTAGAGGAGGGGAGGAGAAGAAAGTCAGATTTCAGGAGTTTAAGAAAGAGTTGTAAATTAAGAAAGTAGAGACAGAAAGTGAAGATTAATCATCCATGATGTTGGTTGACAATAGGTTGGAGAGAATGGGAAAACCTGAAGGAGTGAGTTCCTAAAAGATTCAAGGGAGAGTAAAATTTAAAATACAGTTTAATAAAAGACTACCATGTGGGCTGGGGTTGTGGCTCATCAGTAGCATTCTTGCCTGGCATATGCGAGGCCTTTGGTTCAATCCTCAGCACTACGTAAAAATAAATAAATAAAATAAAGGTATTGTGTCCAACTACAAGTGAAAAATAAATATTAAAAAAAAAGACTACCGTGTGACCCAACTATACCACTCCTAGGTATTTATCCTGAAGAATTAAAGTCATCTTACTACAGTGATACATGCGTGCCATATATAAACTAGCAGCACAATTCACAGTAGCCAAACTATGGAATTAGCCTAGGAGTCCATCAATGGATGAATGGATAAAGAAAATGTGGTATATATACACAATGGGATTTTATTCAGCAATGAACAAAAATGAAATTATGGCATTTGCAGGAAAATGGATGGAATTAGAGACCATCATTGTGTGAAGCAAAATAAGTCCAACTAAGAAGATCAAGGGTCCTTTCTATTCTCTTATATGTGGAAGCTAGAGAGGAAAAAGGAAAAGAAAGGAGGGGGTAGATCTCCTAAAAATCAAAGGGAAATCAGTAGCAGAAAGGGACCAAGGGATGGAAACAGGGGAGGGAGGAAGAAGTGCTGGGGAGTGATATTGGCCAAATTATATTGTTATATTGTGTGCATGTATGAATATATAACAACAAATCCCATCATTATATACAACTATAATGTACCAACTAAAATTTGGGGAAAAATACAGTATAATCTGATTAAGTGTCCATATATCTAATGAAGAAAATGTTTTGTGTGCTTCTATTAGAGTTCAAACCATCAGAATTCACACCCCAACTCATCCAGATTAAGAACAGATCACGCTGTCAGTATGAGTGGAGTATGATAGCATGGATCCTGAATTTGATTTGAAAAGCAAACTATTTAAATCAGAGATAACAAGGTAGGAATTTTCAGATAGTCTCAAAAATGTGCACCAAGCTTTGCTACATCAAAGAAATTATCTGTTGAAGCAAGAAGAGGAAGTTGTCAAGACAGAATAATGGGAAAAAAAATCTGAAATTAAAATAAGAGGTACCTTTTTTTTTTCTTTTAAATGGTAGTTTTGTTTGGATTTGTTCCCTTTTCAATCTATTAAAATTTTTCTTGTCCATTTCGAAGTGCTTTTATTCTACCATTATTCTAGCACTGAATAACTTTTGTCTTGCAGATTTCTTTCCCGTTTTATTCTCTAGAGGCCTTTAGATTTAAAAAAAAAAAATGTCTTGAGTTCTCAAATTTTATAGTAAAATTTCCAGCTGTGGCTCCCTACTCCCTGCCCGCTACTCCATCCTATAATCTCTCTCTCTACAACTTCTGATATGATATGTTTGTCATTTTGGTTTAATTTCTGAGCAGTTTCTTTGACTTTATCATCCTGCCTTTATACTGAATTTACAATTTCAGCAATCTTTGTCTTTCTTTCTTCTTCCTTTCCCACCACCAGTTCTTTCTAATTTTGTTTTCTTTTAATTTTGTTTTTCTTTTTAATTTTTTTGTGTTTTTTTGTTTTGTTTCGGTTTTCCCCCAGTCATTTTTGTTTGTTTGTTTGTTTGTTAAAGATATGGTCTCGCTAAGTTGTTGAGACTGACTTTGAACTTGCCATCCTCCTGCCTTGGCCTCCCAAGCAGCTGGAATTACAAGTGTGCACTGCTGTG